TGTTGCTGCGTTGTGCCATTGTATGTGGGGGAGGAATCAGAGAGGGAACAGTGCTGTTTGCTCTGCTCTTGGCTGACTTTCAGTCACTTCTGCTCCCGCAAGCAAATTGGGCCTTTCTGTTGCCAATCCCAGGTGAGTGGTTTTGTGTACATTTTAGGACCCATTAGGTCTCTCCAACAGACTCTGCTGTGAGGCTGGGGATTTCTCCTGCTGTTGCAACACCACAGATTTTTACAGTCAGAGGTTTTGAGGCTTTTTTCTCCTGGGCTGGAACCCTGGGTTGTGTGGTCTGTGTTGCTCCCCATTTGTTCCTCCCAGTTTATCTGCTCACAAATGTGGGACTGCCAGCCTCTGCCTTTCCTGCCCAGTCCTCCAGCGGCCACCTTGCTGTGTATCCTCTCTTCCCTGGCTGCCCATTTCTGCCCTTCTTGACAGTCTGGATGAATGCTTCTCCTTTAACTCTTTGGTTGTCAGACTTCCATACAGTTTGATTTTCTGGCAGTTCTGGTTATTTTTTTGTTTTTAAATTTGTTGTTTTCCTTCTTTTGGTTGTGTGAGGAGGCAAAGTGTATCAACCTATGCCTCCATCTTGGCCGGCATTCTCTCATTCAGATAATATTCTTATGATTTGTGTAATTTTTTATATGCATGTTATATATCAGTAAGAATTTATAAAATTTAAAAAAAGAGCTGTTGATTCTTTTGGTGGTATTTGGTCATTTTGGGATCTAGAGATACATCCTTCATCTGAAGAACTGCATGAGTCTTAGACTGATAAAGCCTTGGCATGGAGGGGAATCTCCACAGAAGAGAGTGGGCTTTCCCACTGTCATTACCTGTGGAGAGGCAGTCTGGAGGCTGCAGTTGTGCTAGACAGGCCTTTTATGGGGTGAGAGATACTTACCCCTTTCTCTGAACCTATGACCCTGGACTGTGAAACATTTTGGTTATCCAGGTTGGTGGCTTTTAGCTAGTTTGAAAGGTATCTTAGAGAGGAATGCTTTTGGACCCTAAAAAACCCCAAAACAAAACAAAACAAACAACCCAAAACAAACTATTCCCTATTTGATAAATATGAAAATCTCATGGAAGTGAGAGGAAAGGTCTGAACTGATACCCAGAAACTGGAAGATTGAGGTGTGTGGCGGGTAATTGAATGTTAAGTGGCTTCAACTGCGGTGCAGCTTCATGCGAATTCCTGGAACAGATATACAAAAAGGGCATATTGGTGTGTTCTCCTATCCACACTGCCAGTCTCCTTGTGTTATAATCATCTGTTTATTTGTCAGGCTTTCCCTCCAGATCTCAGTCTCACGGAAGGTAGGCACCAAGTCTGTAGCTTTTAGCAGGCACTTGGACTTGGTAAGTGGTGTCCATCGAAACAAATGCCTGAACTTCAGTGCTTGCTTAACCTGTGGTGTATTTCCCCATCTATGAAGTGTTCCATAGCGACTCACCTTCCCAAGGTTGGTGCAAGGCCTGGCACAAATTCAAGATTCTGTAAACATTTGGGGGTTAATGATGTGATGAGTTCATTAGTGATAAGTGATAAAGATCACTGGTAGCAAGAAAAAGCTATAACAAGTCTAAACCATCAGAAAGCAAAGCAGAGTGGGAATAGAGTCCATTTGCTTTTGAAAACTTAAGACATGGGACCATTTTCATAAAGCTTATGTAGTCATTTACACGCATCCTCCTCGAGGGTGAAACACTGAGTCTGAAAAGAAAGGATTAGTGGGGAAAGGATCCCAGATTGTCTTTACACTGGATTCCTTTTTCCCCTGCCAGAACTGACACACCCTTGGGGGATCTGAGGAGCACTTGTGCCCTGGAGTACAGATGAAAGAATGTAATGCTAATTTAACTCCTTGATTTTATTTCTTTTTCAGGCCATTTTGGCTGTTAAAATAGAAGCATCTAAAGATATATTTTGGGCTTTAGAACCCTCTCAGAGTGTCATACCGTCCTGATTGTCCCCAGACAAACATGGCACTCCTGGAAGCACACAGAATTTGGTGGCATAATCACCATAGAAATGTCTATTTATGGAGAATTTATTGTGTGCCAGATGATGGACTGAACGTTACATTGATTTTCTAATTGATATCATAATTTCCCCTTTTACATATGAAGAAACTGAGGCTGTTTAAGAATCTTTCAGAAGGTCACAAGGCCAGTAGGTAGAAGCACTGGGACTTGAACTTGGACTGCCAACATTTAAGGCTTCACGGTTGACTGCCTCCCAGGGAGGAGATGGGGTTGTGATTTTGCTGGGTCCCAAAATAGTGGAGGACATGGATTATGAATCAGATCATAGATCATTTTTAGAAGACCCTGGAGGCCATGAAATCTCTCCCACTTCCCAGAACTGGTATGTGCATGTTGTCACTTCTGTGTCTTGAGGAAAGTCTGGCTCTTTTACATTGTGTTGGCTGCCACAAAGACATGTAGCTCTCAGTGTTCCAATGTGGAGTTGCAGACAGCTGCTACTGTCCTATCCTTTTAACTCTTCCCATCGCTGGTGTTTCAGATCCTCTTGGTCTTATCTATCTCTTGTCCCAGTGCCATGTCACATGGGCTCCAGTTGACTACACAGGTCCAACAGTACTTGGCCTATGTACATGAGGGTCACTTACACCTCTACACCCCATCAGGATACCCTTGTTGATGCATCCATGAGACCTGCCATGTGCCACATGTACAAGCTAGAAGTGTGGGGGAGTCAGTGCCTTGTGGGACAAACCCTTAACCAATGGGAGGCAAGAAATGATAGGTAAATTTTTCCGTTTCCTTCTCTTAGCACAGGTAAAGTTTAGATGCTGTTTACATGATTTCTCTGGGAGGACAGGGACTGACTCTATAGTTTTATGCATAATACTTGGGGTTTAATGAATGTTAAAGAAATATATTTTGAATGAATGCCATCATTTGCAGTTAGTAGAGATCAGTAGCTCATTGACTGCCATCCTTCCTTCTCTGGTTGTCCTTTCTCTCTGCCTCCATCCCCTTCTCCCAGACTCTTGTTCCCTGTAATCTTTAGGGGATTATATTCCCTAATGATGTTTGAAGCATATGAGCCCTCTACTTCAACTTTCTAGGGAATCCAGGCTAAGACAGGTGGCAAGACCTGAATAATCTTATATTCATTCATGGTCTTCTGGGACAGCCAATATTCCTGGTGTGCACAGGTGCTTTGCATATTTGAGTTAAGGACAAGACACATGGAGATGGATGGAGTGGAAAGCTGTGGGTCTGTGACTGGAGGCTGGGAGGCAAATGGCAAAACGTTACCTACATCTTCCTTCAAATAACTTTCCATTTAATTTGCATGGTAATTTCACTTCCTTCTCCTCATGTAAACCTCATCTTTAAGTTGTGGCTGCCCTGTGTGACTAAGAAGTATAAAAATACTGAAGGTTAGCCCAGTCTATTTGGTATCTTGTTAGGTCACTTTCTGTCACTTTAGGGAAGAAAGGTATGCAACATTTATCTTCATGCTTGCCTTATTGAAACCTGATTCCCCAGACCCCAGGTGAACCCGGAGCAGCTAGCTTCTCTCTCTTTGTATAGGGAGTGCAGACTCATTGCATACAAGTAAGACACAAGAAAGTGGCAATGGCATCTGCAGTCCTCCTGTGACCCCTTGGAATTAAAGACAAGACCTCTAGCCAAAGGTCAGACTTAGGGATCTTGGTTTCTTACCACCTCAGGCCATGTGGATAGTCACTGACTAAAGAGGAGGGGTCTCATATGATTCTTGCAACTGGTAGGATCCAGTGGACATTGGGTCTTTTGCCACCAGTCAGGGAAGGAACTGTATTTTTCCAGTGGTGCATATCCTGTTGCTGGTGGCTGTACCAGAGAGACTGCCATGAGACCCTCTCTAAAAACGGTGCCATTTGAGAGTAGCCCTGACTTACTGAGAGGCCATAAATTCAGTGTAAATAACCCATAAATCAATACAGCTAAAAGCCATTCACATGTTTACACACATAACAATTGTGAAAATGGGGCTCAGGGTAAATGATCCCAGGCCATATTTTACAAGGGGAAGGCAAGCGGAGCAGGACAAAAGCCTGATCTATTACTCCCGCAGTTGCTTGTTGCTGCCATACGGTGTCGCTGTTGAAGACACGTTTAGTATGGTTTGATCCACCCCTCCCTGATGGTTCCCTGGCTGGTCTAGCTCCTTCACGGGTTTCAGTGGTTGCTCGAAAGACAATCGCCATGCTCCTCATTTAGTGCCTGCTCCTCATTTAGTGTAGTGCCGTGCTCAGCCAAGGTGCTTCAGTGTGCACGTCTGTGTTCACCCGTGGTCCCCAAACATGGCGGCTGTGCTGGTGTGGGGCTTGGGGAGGTCAGCTCCAGATCCTACGCCTGTACCAGCCTGACTACGCGCCTTTCCTGGCCTGAGTTTGAATCTTCCCTCAGCCTTCCCTGGCTTTCCTGCTGAGGGCCCTTCTGAAGTATGTGTCATACTTGCCATTTTGCATGTTGTTTTGCCACATGGAAGTGGGCCCACTGTGTCCCCAGAGAACTGCTGACTATGCGCATTGGTATTTGTTGTTCAGATCCCTGTGTCTGACTGGCCACAGGTGGTTTTACTGTCTTCTTCCCTCCGGGCAGCAGATGCTTTCTTGCTCTGTATAACTTTCAGGTATATATGATTTATCTATAGATGACTCTTAGTTATATAAGAAGAGACCCTAGATATGATTTTCAGGGTTATGCTGATTCCTCTTAGGTGACCTTGGGCTCTCCCCAGGCATGGGATGGCTGCCATAATTTATGACTATCCATCTCAGGAGATGCTTATTTAATCTCTGCCTCAAAAAGTATCATGTTACATAAGAAGAACTACATTCCATAGAAAAGTAGACATAAAACTCCTACTGAAATTATACCAAGTTGGAAAACAAAGCCCCTATTTCTTATTGTTTGTATCAACATTTAAAACCATTTTGACCAGACAGTTCAGAGCTCAATGTCAAGTTTCACAGATGCCACCCAGAGCAAGAAGTGGGCCTGGAAAAGTGGGGGAAGGGGCAGTAGCATCTGGCAGTGACAGTTATCTGAAAAAGAATTTCTTTTCTTTTATTGATTCTAGAGAGAGGGGAAGGGAGGGAGAAAATAAGGGAGAGAAACATCAATGTGAGAGAGAAACATCAATTGGTTGCCCCTTGCAAGTGCCCCAACTAGGGACTGAACCCAGACCAGGGACCAAACCTACAACACAGGCATGTGCCCTGACTGGGAATTGAACCCACGACCTTGCAGTTTGCAGGGTGATGACCAACCCACTGAGCAACACTGGCCAGGGCAGGGAGTGACAGTTCTGACAAGAAGCCTCAGGTTCCCAAAGATGGTGGCAATGCAGTAAAGGTCAGACACATTCCATGTGAAAAACATGGAAAAATCATAGGAGCCTTGGAAAAGTTAAAGTCTGGAATGAGATTCAATGAAGTGGCCACACAATATAGTGATGGTAAAGCCAGGCAAAGGGATGACTTGGGTTGGATGACCAGAGGGTTCATGGTGGGACCATTTCCAGAGGCAGCATTTGCTTTGTTTATAAGTGTGCTGGACAAATCTGTGTTGCAGACCCTCCAGTTAGGATGAAATTTGGATATCATATTATTATGGTGGAAGGGAGAAAATAAAATTGTATGGAACACTGAAAAAAAAAAACCATTTTGACCAAAGTCAGTGAAGTGCTTGTTTATAATAATAACAATATTTCTCTGTTGTTTGTGTTTGCAAAGAAACTCTTTGCTAGCATAGTTAAAAGAACAAAGGTCACTGTCCTGAAATTCTTGAAAAGGCACATAAGAGAAGAAATGGTTTCCAAGTGGCAGCAGGGACAGTCTGAGGTCTCCTTTCTCCCTCTTTAGCTTGTCTGATGGGCTTTTCTACCTTGAGGCATTTCTTCCTTAACAACAGCAATGTCCCAAGGGCAAGTTTAGTTTGAAGTTGGTAACTTTTTTGAATTGAGGCCTTTTAGCATTTATCTTCAAGGCTGTGTTGAAGACCCATAAAACTAAAGATATCTGGGTTTTGGTCCTCATTAGAGATTTCTGGCAAATACACATTTATTCTTGAGGCCACAACTGTCCAGCTGTAAATAAAGAGAATCCTGCTTCTTGGCCTTGTTCTCCAGGCTGGCCATGATAAAACTTTGAACTCACCTCCCAGTGGGAAGGGCATTGACCCCTCTCAATTCCCCTTCTGCTCCACAGGGTCTGAGAAAACTCCCTAAGGAAGGGGGAGAAACATGAGGACTGGTCTTGAATTGATTATGTGTTATATATGGATATTTCAAGGCTGGCTTCTCTGGCCAAATACCTTCACCCAGCTGGGCTCCACATGTAGAAAAGAAGGGCTCTTTTATAAAATACCCAATGCAAGATGTTGACCTTTTGAAATCCTTTGGGCAGACCATTTCAAAGAGTGGGTATTGTCAAAGGCCACCTAAAAGTAGAAAATGATAAATCAAAGTTAATCAAAAAGGGCTGAAAGGACATCCTGTAGCCAAGTTGAGGTGATAGACAAAGCTAGGATTGTGGGAGGTGAAATCACTTCCCCTCCCCTCTGACTCATACCACCATGAGGGGCAACTGTTAGTTTGAACCTTAGGTCTGGAGGCCAGGTTACACTTACCCATTCAGTCCAAGCTCTGACATTTTCAGTACTAGCCCAGCCTCTTGTCAACTGCCCCACCCTAACCGTGGACCACACACCAGTTTGGGGGTTTGTAGAGAGGTTGAATTGCCAAAGACTGTTGCATCAGTGCTCCGATCTGTGGCTATGGCCAGCCCCTCTGCCAGTGCCATTTTCCCTCAGAAATAGGCAGCAGGCTATGATTTACAGTGTGTTTTGCAATTAACTTAAGGTTTAACTTAGTAAATCACTCATTTACCAACACCTACTATGTGTCCGGCACTAGGTTCTAAATATAGATATTCCCTAGACTGGGAAGCCAAAATGCAGTTCAGCCTCAGAGTAGTGTTGGAAACAAACAATATGAAATAAACCACCAGCACAACAAAACCACAGTCTAGCCACCAAAAATATAATTTCAAGTAAATATGTATATGTGATTCTTGAACACCCCTAAGTGGGATTTTGGCACTTATCTTAGAGCACTTTTTTCGCTCTTCTCCACTTCACACCCATACTTGCCCCATGCCCCTTCCAATCTCCTGAAAACCTTTCTCAGGGACTAGCCTTCAGGCTACTTCTGCTCCAACCTGTCCCTGCTCTCAACTCTCTGTCATAAAACCCCAAAGGGCCAGCTGGGCCCAGGTGAAGCATGAACATGTAGAGGCTGAGCTCTCTTTAGTGGATATGAGGGACAGGCGTGAGCTGAAACAGGATGTTTTGAGTTTTGTTCCTGCCTCATAAAAAAATGAGAGATATAGCTGTTGTCCCAGTGAAGATCACCATAACTGAGATGTCAACACCAAAACAATGGCAATTCATTGTGAGAAGTGATTTGCTATGGAAATCCTGAAGAGATCAAAAATGATGGCCCAGGGAGAAGAGTTGCAGCCAAGGCTTGAAGGATGAATCTGGGTTTGAACCCAACCTCTGCGAATTTTGGACAAATTACTTAACTTCTCTGTACCTTGGTTTCCTCATCAGTGACATGGAGATAGTACATTATATGGTTGTTGTAAGACTTACATGATTTAATAAAAGTAAAGTGCTTAGACTAGGGTTTGCTACACTGCTCAGCAGTGCTCAGCAAACATGTAGTTAGTGCATTGAAATATTGAATAAGTAAATTCCTGGGGCTATAATCCCAAAGCAGCTTTGTTTTTTTCCTTCCACTGCCCCATGCATCTGGATGAAAAGTCTTAGGACTTTCTTGACCATTCTGAGCCAATGCAAAGTTGTGTGGAGTCATTTTCACATGCAGAAATCAGAATGTGAACTCTCATATACTGATCAGCTCATATATTTAATCTTCCATCTCTGTTCAGGGACACCGGCTGCAGTCACTATCAGCATGGATGGGACAAGAATGAGGCCAGCTTTCTTTCTTATTCACCCCTTCTCACACTCACTGTGGTTGCTCCTGACTTCACTGACCTGGGGCACATGCAAGGAGCAAGACCATTCTCATGCTTGGGCACCCACTCTCATTAACTGGTTCTGAGTTCTCTGGCCTTAGAGATGCTGACTTGTTCTTTCCAGTGTGCTTTCATGGGTTCTTCAGAAATCCCTCTTCCATCCTGTCCATTCATCACTAAAAAGGTTTGCCTGCAGCTGCCTTGATTTAGGCAGAGGGAGCTGTAGTTCATGCTCCCCAGACCCTAGGATCCTAGCAGTCCACCTCTAGCTCTCAGGTGGATAGCAGCTCAAAAGCCCATTCAGCCCCTACTTGCCCAACTCAGAGCAGGTCCTGGGAAACTTCCACATATGTTTGCTACACAGACTCTGGGAAGACAGTCCTTTCCAGTGCAAGCATCTGTCCCCTGCTTGTCAGCATTCTGCAGGCTTTCCTTCACCCTTTAGATTTCTCATCTGAAGTCTGACACCAACCCACTCTGCCCCTGTCCTCAGACTATAAGGGATTCACGTTTGTGCCTGAGTGTTCTTAAAGCTCTGCTCTCTTAAACTGAGCTGAAGGTGGACCTGATCTCTATTCTTCCTCTTTATGGAGGGTCAGAGTCCCAAACAAGCAGATTCTTCAAGAATTGTCTTTCTGACCCCCTCGTTCCACAGCCCTCTCAACGCCCTCCTCATGTAGGTGGCAAGTTCTCAGCCACTTGGCCTCTGCCAGGGACATAGGATGGTTGTCTCACAACTCAGTTTGGTGTCTTTTGTACATTTCAATTTCCTACACAATTGTTAGAGACCATCTTTATCATGGGGAGGGTGTGTATGTGTCAGTGGTCTGCTAGAAGGTAGCATGTATGGGGGAGGGTGGCAGATGACATGGCAAAGCTGGGCAGGGACTTCTTTGTCCAGGTAGCTTAAGCCTGTGACTCTTGTCTCCCAGGTCCTGCCATGATGGATAAAAGGGTGCAGAAGGCTGGACTCCATCTCCTCATGACAAACCTGTTTATATACAATGCAGATTGTTTTTAATATGTGTTTTCTCATTTAATACTCACAACTCAATTGATCCTTATTATATTCCTTCCAATTTTACAGATAAGGACACAAGTTCAAGAAGCTAAGTGACTGCCAATGTTTCACAACTAGGAGTTAACAGATCCAAACTTACTAATTTAAATTCTGTTGTGCTCTTTTCATTACACCGCAGTAGCTGGAGCTGGTTTGGGGGTGGGGCACTATTCTGAAAGCCTAGCATTGGGCAGGATGTTGTCCTACCAGAGGCAATAACTATGGGAGCACCTGCCTGTGCTGGACCTGGCTGTCTGTGCTCACAGCTGCAGTGGATGTTCTGTCCTCCACACCCACCTGCCAAACAGAACTGGCTGAGCTGGGCAAATACAAGTTGTAACTTCACTCTCTCTGCTTCACAGCTGACATCTTACATACCCAACTTGTCCAACCCAGAGTCTTGACCCCTTCATCTTGTAGTCAAATCCTCTGGTCACCTAGACCAGCAAAGGGCTCTGGGTAAGCGTGCTCTATCTCCCAAAGAGAGAAGAGCAGGTTCTCATAGAAAGGGTGACCCACTCCACCCAAGACTTTCAGGATCTGCCAAGCTCTGCAGCTGCACTAAGCCGTTTGTTACTAGAGTCCCTGGGAGTTCATACAAGAATTCTTGTCCCCCTCTCTTCTACATGGTTTGGTTTAATTCATTGGAATATAGGATCACATACTAAAGGAGTAGGAGATAGAATTTAAATTTTGTTCTCTCTAGCAAGAGGCTTACATAACATTTTGTCTTAATTAATCTTAATTTTTAGGATAATAAAAGTAATATATGTTGATTATGAAAAAAATCAGAAAGTACAAAAAACAAAAAAGTTGAAAACAAGGTAAAAGATTACTCCTGGGCCTTATGTTTTAAGATTTTTGTGTCTTTCCTCTGAACATCATATTTACATATATAAAGCATATCTATAGATATGCTTGCAACAAGATTAGAATTATATAGTAGAAATTGTATTGTGAGGAGGTGTCTTTTACTTACCTGTATATCTTGGGCATATCCTCCCAGCATTAAACTCAATGAACTTTTAAACAATTCTATGTGACAGATTCCACTTTGTACTAGAAAGACAACAGATGGAACAGAATAGTGAAGTCATAAATTGTGAGCACCCCCTGGGGACCTCCCCTTGGCAAGACACCAGTCACATCTCAGCAACCCAATCTGAAGAAGCTGACCCTACCATGCTGTTATGGCTCAGACATCTTTCTTTTCTACCCTGAAAACAAAATTGAGCTGAGTGTCCCCAACTTCTCCCACATCCTATAGCTTGGGGTGTGACCCACCATGAAGGGTTCCTGTAAATGAAGCCAGTATATATGTCCCTACATTCTTTCCCTTTTGTCTTCTGGTTCTGGCCCTTAGCACTCCATGTTTCCTCATGTATTTTGTCTTTTAAGTAGAGGCCATTGTACCAGATCCTCCCAGTTTTCCCGTAATTAAAATGTGCACAACTCTGTTGAAAGCCCTTTACACAAGAAGGTCATTT